CTCACCTGGTGGCAGGACTCTGGCCTTCACGCTGTTCTTGGCTGACTTGACGACCTCCTTGAGGATCCTCCTCTCAGATTCTCCCACCAGAGACACGGAGCGTCCGGACTTCCCGGCTCTGGCTGTGCGACCCACCCGATGGACGTAGTGCTTCGGAGTGGACGGCATGGTGAAGTTTATCACCTGAGAGACAGACAGGGACATTGTTCTTATGTGTCAACAATTAAAGACAAAGCTTCACTCTCTAGTCTAGTTGACAGCAGTTTGAAGTTTTATGATAGAAATGTAGAGTAGGGTCCCCAGCTCATAGACATTTCCGGATGCCGACCATCATATGTTGGACAATTTGCATAATTAGCACAAGTTGTATTTAAGGTAGGGTAGGTAAGTTTGAGAAACCAGCTTGAGTGCGCTAGAATTTGAAAATACACAGCCGGAGAAAATCTGCCACTTCCTCACAGAGCCCCTCCTCCAACACACACGAACGCGCACATGACCAATGAGGGCACCAGATAAGTTTGTGCACAGATGAAAGTTTTTATGGATTTGTTGTCAAAGCACTTCAGATATTCATTGCTATCTGGATGTTAAGAGCATTCCATGGAATATAACAACAAGTGTATCTCCAGCCGGTTTCTCAAACTTACCTACCCTACTTTTAATTAGCATTAAAATCTACAATAGTTACAAAATGGATTGGCGATTTTGAAACTTTTGGTGTGGTTTTGGATGTTATTGAGGTAATCTTTTTAATTTTGATTAATTTGGGGTTTAATTAGGCGCTTTCACACCGGAGTACTTTTCCCAGTATAGTTCCGAAAGTTCTTGAAATGTTGCGTTCACACCAGCCTTCCGAGTAAATCGCCAGAACGCCGACACCTCCTCATCCCTCCCATGTTTTTTTTAGTGTTGCCATAACTTATTCTCTCTCCGTTGGCGCGCGGGGCTAATGCTATTGCTAATAATGCTAATGCCAGCAAATACAATGGCGGCTTCACAAAACTTTTCGCCTATTTCTATTATAAAACGTTGGGGTGCTCAACATGTCCGGGTTCACTACAGCAGTGGTTCTCAACTGGTCAGGCCTCGGGACCCACTTTTTCGTTTGTCAATAAATCGCGAACCGAAATTTTGAAGCACTCAAATCTATTCAACAAAAAATTGTGCTGTAATATATACGCTTTTCAGAATACATTATTAAAGTGAAGTACAGTGCATCCCATATATCCCTTCACAGAACTAAAGTATGCTTTTAAAAAAGGTTTAATGAGATGATGGAATCAAAGCTGAACTGTATCACATAGAAAGGCACACATGCTGAAAACCCAAGCCCAGCAGGGGATCTGGGGGGGATTCTCCCCCAGGAGATTTTTAGAAATATATAAACTACGCATTCTGGTACACTCTGAGAAGAAAATAAATAGATCTATTACTACCCGACATATTAATAATATTTGATGCCATTGTTTGTTTTTCACTTAGTTCTGACAGCTTGCTGCTCCTCACAGAGAGAAGAGCAAAGAGGAGAGAGTCTGTGAATTACTTTGTGGGTAAGGGTAGATAGCCCCCATTGTTCTGTGACCTGTCAGTCATCAAACCGGGGGTCATATTTCATTATGTGTTCATTTGTATCTGAAGTTGTACCCATGGATGTATAAAGAGTAGTTCTACCTCAAAGTTATTTTCCGTGGGGACTTCCAGCAACCATCTTGATTCTGATTGGCCAGAAGACTCGAAAAAACCTCAGCAAAGATGTTTTATTGAGAAGATGATCACTACGTGACAGAAGTTTTCAAAACCGTTTATGATCTCCGGTACTTCCAGTCCAACGCCTACTGCATGCACAGCGTTAGAACATCGGGCCTTCAAAATAAAAACACTCACACATCTGTGACCCACTCAAAACGGGTCCACGACCCACTTTTGGGTCGCGACCCACCAGTTGAGAACCACTGCACTACAGGACTCTCGGAGCTGCCAACAGACATAAATGCAGCTCTGGGTGTCTTCACCGTAGAGAAACTAAAGGAAGAGACTCACCGTTTTCACTCCATCGATATCCAGACCTCGAGCTGCCACGTCTGTCGCCACCAAGATATCAATCTGATCGTCTTTAAACCGCCTGGAGAACGAGAGAACCAACACAGAGTTACACACTTCAGACTAGACGACTGTCGTGGCTCAGATCTGAAATATAACGTATAACCCTAATCCACACGTTACTAACAGGGAGGTAACTAATCCACAGGTTACAGACAGGGAGGTAACTAATCCACAGGTTACTGACAGGGAGGTAACTAATCCACAGGTTACTAACAGGGAAGTAACTAATCCACAGGTTACTAACAGGGAAGTAACTAATCCACAGGTTACTGACAGGGAGGTAACTAATCCACAGGTTACTGACAGGGAGGTAACTAATCCACAGGTTACTGACAGGGAGGTAACTAATCCACAGGTTACTGACAGGGAGGTTACTAATCCACAGGTTACTGACAGGGAGGTAACTAATCCACAGGTTACTGACAGGGAGGTAACTAATCCACAGGTTACTAACAGGGAGGTAACTAATCCACAGGTTACTGACAGGGAGGTAACTAATCCACAGGTTACTGACAGGGAGGTAACTAATCCACAGGTTACTAACAGGGAGGTAACTAATCCACAGGTTACAGACAGGGAGGTAACTAATCCACAGGTTACTGACAGGGAGGTAACTAATCCACAGTTACTAACAGGGAGGTAACTAATCCACAGGTTACTAACAGGGAGGTAACTAATCCACAGGTTACAGACAGGGAGGTAACTAATCCACAGGTTACTGACAGGGAGGTAACTAATCCACAGGTTACTAACAGGGAGGTAACTAATCCACAGGTTACTAACAGGGAGGTAACTAATCCACAGGTTACTGACAGGGAGGTAACTAATCCACAGGTTACTAACAGGGAGGTAACTAATCCACAGGTTACTAACAGGGAGGTAACTAATCCACAGGTTACTGACAGGGAGGTAACTAATCCACAGGTTACTAACAGGGAGGTAACTAATCCACAGGTTACTGACAGGGAGGTAACTAATCCACAGGTTACTGACAGGGAGGTAACTAATCCACAGGTTACTAACAGGGAGGTAACTAATCCACAGGTTACTAACAGGGAGGTAACTAATCCACAGGTTACAGACAGGGAGGTAACTAATCCACAGGTTACTGACAGGGAGGTAACTAATCCACAGGTTACTAACAGGGAGGTAACTAATCCACAGGTTACTAACAGGGAGGTAACTAATCCACAGGTTACAGACAGGGAGGTAACTAATCCACAGGTTACAGACAGGGAGGTAACTAATCCACAGGTTACAGACAGGGAGGTAACTAATCCACAGGTTACTGACAGGGAGGTAACTAATCCACAGGTTACAGACAGGGAGGTAACTAATCCACAGGTTACTAACAGGGAGGTAACTAATCCACAGGTTACAGACAGGGAGGTAACTAATCCACAGGTTACTGACAGGGAGGTAACTAATCCACAGGTTACTGACAGGGAGGTAACTAATCCACAGGTTACTGACAGGGAGGTAACTAAACCACAGGTTACTAACAGGGAGGTAACTAATCCACAGGTTACTAACAGGGAGGTAACTAATCCACAGGTTACTAACAGGGAGGTAACTAATCCACAGGTTACTAACAGGGAGGTAACTAATCCACAGGTTACTAACAGGGAGGTAACTAATCCACAGGTTACTGACAGGGAGGTAACTAATCCACAGGTTACTGACAGGGAGGTAACTAAACCACAGGTTACTAACAGGGAGGTAACTAATCCACAGGTTACTGACAGGGAGGTAACTAATCCACAGGTTACTGACAGGGAGGTAACTAATCCACAGGTTACTGACAGGGAGGTAACTAATCCACAGGTTACTGACAGGGAGGTAACTAATCCACAGGTTACTAACAGGGAGGTAACTAATCCACAGGTTACTAACAGGGAGGTAACTAATCCACAGGTTACTAACAGGGAGGTAACTAATCCACAGGTTACAGACAGGGAGGTAACTAATCCACAGGTTACTGACAGGGAGGTAACTAATCCACAGGTTACTAACAGGGAGGTAACTAATCCACAGGTTACTAACAGGGAGGTAACTAATCCACAGGTTACAGACAGGGAGGTAACTAATCCACAGGTTACAGACAGGGAGGTAACTAATCCACAGGTTACAGACAGGGAGGTAACTAATCCACAGTTACAGACAGGGAGGTAACTAATCCAAAGGTTACTGAACAGGGAGGTAACTAATCCACAGGTTACAGACAGGGAGGTAACTAATCCACAGTTACTAACAGGGAGGTAACTAATCCACAGGATTACAGACAGGGAGGTACTAATCCACAGGTTACTAACAGGGAGGTAACTAATCCACAGGTTACTGACAGGGAGGGTAACTAATCCCAGGTTACAGACAGGGAGGTAACTAATCCACAGGTTACTAACAGGGAGGTAACTAATCCACAGGTTACAGACAAGGGAGGTAACTAATCCACAGGTTTACTGACAGGGAGGTACTAATCCACAGGTTACTGACAGGGAGGTAACTAATCCACAGGTTACTGACAGGGAGGTAACTATCCACAGGTTACTGACAGGGAGGTAACTAAGCCACAGGTTACAGACAGGGAGGTAACTAATCCACAGGTTACTGACAGGGAGGTAACTAATACCACGGTTACTGACAGGGA